GGGCAGATGCAAGTAAGAATGTCATGGACATGGCGTGACACAACATGATGGAGCATAGAGAGATGATCTCACGAAGAAACAGGCATGGCGCAACGGTTGGGCCATGTACTCGCCAATCCCACCTCCAACGTCACCAGCAGACGCCAGTCAACCCCACCAGCCGCTAAGGAAGTCCAGCCTCTGAGCGGCTCCTCGGTCCCAGGAAGATGAATGGCAACATGGACACCAAGGAAGCTTGACCGAGAGATCGACATGCTGATATGCAGGCTGTCAGGACACCGCCTTCGCACCTGCAGTAAGCAAAAGGCGCAGGAGGCGCGCCTCCTGGTCCGCGTATGGGAGTGCGCACCAGAGCGTATCAGAGCCGCCTTCGAGGCCCCCAACGTTCTTCGATTCGGGACCAGAACCAAGGAAGAGAAACCCATCTGCGTCTGGACGACGAATGGGCCGGCGCCACCTGTCTCGTCTCAGAAAAGCTCACCCGCCGACGTGGGAGGGATTTTCGCCCCGCGTCGGCTGCCGTCAGCAGCGGTCTCTGCGAGTTCTACCACTGTCTGCGGGCGCGGGCGCGGGCGCGCATAGCTTGCGTGTGGCCTGGTCTCGCGCGGCCGCTGACGTGGGACGACACGCACAGGTCGCGGCTGTCGTCCAGATGCCATCGCATTTCTCCCTTCCTTTTGCGGCGCGCCAGCTGTTCTGACAACGTTGGCTCATCTGGGGGAGATCCGCCGCCGGTGAGCGAGAAGGAAGGCTGGGGGGGTCAAGGCCGTGGAGTGTCGATAGACGAAGACACGAAAGCATCACTCGTTGATGACGAGAAGGAGTCTTAGCGACGTTGCAGTGAAAGGGTCCAACCCTTCGCAGGCGGCCCATGCCACTGGTATGACAGGGGACGAGGGGTACATAGCAGGGCAATCAATCGTCAGTTCGGCGTGTAACTGTGAGGAGTATCGGCCAAACAGGACGGCGATGCTGGAACCCTTGAGTCGAGGTTTGGTCGGCGTCCGATGCATTGCGTCGCCGTTCAGTAGTCTCCGCAGTGATGGACGTTCGGCGTTCATCGCTAACTCCACGGAAGTTCACAGCGTGGTAGGCGAGGTGGGGATTGCGGTCGGAATGTGAATGCCGTGGACAGTAATGTCCATCCTATCCCCGGGGTTGGATAAGATGGGAGATTCACGCAAACGCCGAGGACCGGCGCGCGAGGGGCAGGCGCGGCAGGAGCACCCACCCCTCATGCCATTTATTACTGGTACCTCCTTCCTTACACCACCCTTCACCCCTTGCGCCGAAAGGTACTTGTTCACCGGCTCATTCCTTCACGTTCATCGTCGGCGACCATGTTTGGATCAGCAGAACGGGGGAAGGAACCACCTATAGCGCAGAGGAGGAGCAAGTCTGTTAGCCAAGGGAGGTACCGCCCCAACCAGCGCCTTCGAAACGGGCTGCCGCAGCCGTTGGCTGTTTCCCGTCACGTCTCCGTCGGATGCAAGTCCGCCACTAAGCCGGAGACGGCGTCTGTTGTCAAGACCCGTCAGAAGTCCATTCATCAGCTGCGGCGCAAAGAGGACTGAGGCCGGCTAAACACTCATCCTCCAGCCTCGAAGCTTACGACCCCTTCTCCGGCACTGTGGTGTGAGTGTGGGCAGCATGCGTGGCGGCCTGTCGGGTTGGTTTCGACGCATAAGCACGTCGCCTGGGGTCGCGGTTGGGTTGGCATTGGTCGCGGCGAGGAGGGGGTCCTTTGGTCAATTACTACCAACTACCTTATACTCTCGCCTTCTCGCAATTAGTTGCATGCGGAGCCAAACCATGGTTTGCTGTCTGCGGCGGAGTTATTACTCATCAGCCTTGAAAGGGAGGGGGGGGGGGTTGCGTGAGAGGCCAGGTGGGTTACTGTACGAGATGTCGGGTGGGTTCAAACCTGACCTGTGGTGGGTTCAGGTGGGTTGGGCCCTGGAGCTATACGGCGAGCTTTAGGTATTCGAAGCTTCCTCAGCTTGAGCATGAGCTTGAGCTTGAGTTTGAGCTTGAGCTTGTCTACCTGTGCGGCTTACGTGGTCACCGTATGCGGCGAGCGGCTGAAATGACCGAAATTCTGTTCCTCGGGCGAGAGCGCATCTCCATCTTTCGTGTTGGCACGGAAGCTGAGAGAGCGAGAGAGAGAGAGGGGGGGGATATTCTCAGCCTGTCCATCGTTTGCAATTCCAACATGCCGCGAGCGTTCATCGCAACCTTGCGGCGGCCAACCACCAGCCCTCCATCATGTGTGGGTGAGACTACAGTAAGTAGAGTGAAGTGGCGGACGATGCCCAGGCGAAAGCTTCTCTCGGGTCGAACTCTCTCCTTGCTTTGCCCTATCACCAAGCAGAATCCATTGCGCGCCGTCCGCGGCCTCGAAACATGGGATGAAAGGACAGATGAGTCCATCCAAGTCGATGGATGTAGCTCCGGAAGGGCGCAGGCGCCAAGGGCATGTTGAGCATGTAGGATGCAGTCGGTCACCACGAAGTCTCTTCATGTACCTCCCCCCCGCCGCCGCTCTCTCTTGGCGCTTCCCGACTTTGGCTGGCCATCTCCTCACCCACCCCCCTTCCTGTCGAACGAGCTCACATCATGTCACCCAACCCCCAGAAGATGCCAGGGCGACTGCCCAAGTCCACCCACGGCACGGGCGAAATGCGAATGCGTGTGCCGAGCTTCCAAAGCTTTGGGGAGTGGATAGCGCATGGCCAAGGCAGGGCTGTGTGAGGAGAAGAACCCACCAGGCCGCATCCAAACCCTCTTCCCCCGTCCCCCCTTATGCCATTCCTCAGGCGCACCTCGTTTCCAAATCGTCAAGGTCGATCCAATGAGACGATCCGACCACGTGTACTCCACCTGCCAGGAAGACGCCAGGTGCGGCGCGTGCGGTGGTCCTGAATGGGCTCCCCGTGAGGACGACACGGCACGCGTAGGGCGCCTTAAGGGGGTGGTTTTCTGGGGTGGCGTAGTCATAGGCATTTCAGCACAGGCACAAGACTGGCATGGGCGTCGTCGGCGGGGGGGGGGGATAGATACGACGGAAAGTACGAGGAAAGCGAAAAGACGCGGCCAAATAGATGCGAAAAGGCGCAACGCACACAATCCACACAGACACATCCCTGTCTTTAAGATACGCGTACTTGTACGTGTGCGGTCCCCCGCCAGACCTTGACCCGCCATCCACCGTTGCGATAGGGTTGAGGAACTGTCCCTGAGGCACCTAGGTAGTAAGAAAAGGTGCCATTATGTGAAAGCGTAAGGTTCAGTCAGCGAATGTTTGATGCGCATGTGCGCGCGCACCTGATCCTCCCCCCCAAATTTCGAGGGCGAAGGCGAAGGAAAGGGATCAGCGCGCTGTCCAATCGCTGCGATTCCAACCCGAGGTCAGGGGGTGGACTTGGGTGCAAAGTATGGCGGCGGAGTAATGACCAGAGCAGAGAGCAGTGCGGAGTTGTTGAAAGCCGAACGCGCGGGTTGGAGGTATACCAGAAGTCGGCGATCAGGAGGGGGGTTCAGGGGAATCTCGAGTGTTATGCCGGTGCAAAACAGCAGCGCCAGCAAGATGTACTGCAGTGTG